ACACACACACACACACACACACACACACACACACACACACACACACACACACACATGCTTAAACTTACTTTTTGACTTAATTAAAAGATGGTATATTGAATTTATTTTCTGTTTTCGGTGTTCACTTTGGATGTTTGTAATATAGTTTATGTATGAATATATGTGTAAACAAAGTGGTTATTATTTGTCAACCCCACCTGTGTAACATATATAAAGAATTAGTTTTAGCTCTGAGCATATTGTGGCACAGTGGGAGACTAAAATAAAAGGTCAGTAAATGGATGTTTGGCACCTGAATCCTGTTCACATGCTTTGACTTTTTGTSTTTTGTTGTAGCCTGGACCAGCATCAAGTGCGACTAATGTTGGGGCAGCTGGCCGTTCCCCCAGCAAAACAGTGGCTCCCCGGGCAGCAGGTTCCACGGTCCGACAGAGGTATATAATCTTATGTTTGTTCCATATTTTCAGACACTTGTTTTGTGTTTGTGGTCAAACTAAGATGTTGTGAGTAATTCACTGAAGTGCAGTCACCAAGTATTTAAAGCTGATCACATTACCGTAGCTTTCTTATTCAGGTATTATTAAATTGTAGCAGAAATACAAAGTGTTATACATAAATATCTTTGATAGCACATTAGTCAAACAGTGGACAACAATGTCACAAAAGTACAGGAAGTATTAAAAATGTTCCTTTCTTCAAYCTGTTTTTTAACAAGATGGCTTCAACTGAACAAATGATTGCAGCCTTTTAAGATGATCCAAATTTAATAGTTGTTGTAACTGACAGGCTTTCTTCCTAATGTTTAGAAAAGAAAACGTCACAAGTGAATGCACACATGAACATAATTCATTTTTTTTTTTTTTTTACAGTTTTATAGCACCTAGGAGTGATTTTAAATTGACTGCTCTCCATAATCAATAAATAATAACGTTAGTCTGTTTTTAACCTATGAAATTTGTATTTTAGTGTTTTCTGGGTTTTGAGAAGTCTGGAGGAAAATGGTGTGGAAAACAAGTGTAGTGTTGGACTCCATTTCTATTCCATTTTCTAATTGGGAGACACATTCATAATTTCCAAAAACACAAGTTGCTCAAACAAGTAGACTTCTTTTCTCTCTGYTTTTATATGAAGTTAACTCCCAATGGCAGCACTTTGCATGGCAGCCATGTGTCAATGAGAAACACCTAAAACACTTTAAACTAAGTTTCACAAGATTTTCTTTAAGTGCAGATCATTTATCACAAAAGTATACCTAATGYAACTCCTCAGTCAAACGTAAAAAATGCAGAGATTATTTTATTACTTTTTTAAATGGCAGCCTAATTTTACAGAATGAACACTGCTTTATTGAAGAAAAAGATCGAGCAAGAAATATTTGTTCTTAGATGTTAAAAATATATCAAACTTTAAACATTTTTGTTTATAACAATGTGGAATATTAAAATGCAAATAATGTAGGTTTAGATTTATACTTTTGGTTAGAATTTCTTAACCATTTTTAATGCATCAGATTGTTTGACAAAACTGTAAAAACAAGAAAAGTATCCATTACATCAACAACAAATCTAAACTTCTTACTGCTTATAACTGTTCTCAGTGCTGATTTCCTTATCCTCATACTGTTAAAAATGACCATCACTTGGCTCTCCTTCACCAGCTCTTGTATATATTATATTTTTTGTGAACCTCCCACAGATTAAAGCTGATGGATGATGTGTTTTGGACTTCATCAGTGTGTAATCATTAGGCTGCATCTCTCTCATTATTACCCTTTACCACCAATTCTCTTCATTACCTCATTAACCTCCGTTTAATCTGTTCACACGAGTGAAGCAGCCATGAATCAGTCTGCTTCCTCATCCGCTGCAGCACTAAGATTATATTCTGATTATCTCTTTGTTTTGGTTTTTTAAATAATTGTTTTTAAATGTCAATGACAGCAAAATTATTTCAAGCCTAATTTGTAAAGTTTGATCAACTTTGCTTTTATGTCGTCTTTTTGTGCGTTTAATTTTCTTAAAMTGTGTTTTGTTGCTTTGTTAACGTCAGCGCTGTGGAATAAGTTATTTCGGGAAATTTTCYGTGCGTTTCGGGTCCAGTTATGTGYTTCCTTTTTGTGCTTCGCAGAAAAGCTGCCAGCAGCAGCACACGCAGCGGAGGCCGGACCACGGGGTCCGCAGGAACTGGGGGCATGTGGCGCTTCTACACTGAAGACTCGCCAGGCCTCAAAGTGTGAGTACACTGAATAAAAGCAGCCATTATAAAGCAGCCATACCTGTGAACTCACAAATTTAGCCTTTGACATTTGAACACACTTCACTTAAAAGCAATAATTCTGAAGATTTCCGATTCTGAAGTTGGTTATTGGTAGGAAATTGGTCAGACGTGACTTTCTTACAGAACAAAYGATGAGCAGGATTTCAGCATGTGTGTGTCTGTATGCACATATAATTCTATTAGGAGAGTATGCTTTTGAAATCGCTCGTCCTCAAACTTGCGCTCTGCCCGCCCCTGATATGAGACGAGGCGTCCTGTCTCCAGGCCACAGCCAGCCATGGCTGATCAATGGTGCTGTGGTGGTTTTATTGAGTGCGTCTCTCCAGCAGTGGAAGGAGGGCAGACTTGTCGTACAGTGGTGTGTGTATCGAGTGCGTGTTTGTTCCCGTGTTAGTCGCCCGTCTCAAAGCTTCATTAAAGGATCCACTCTGAAAGGTCAACTCAATTACTGCTTTCTGATGGGGTGGTGGGAGCGGGAAGGGAGGGGGCCGGGGTCGACGAGGAGGAGGTTGGCATGGCAATGCTGCTACTTAGCAATGCTCTCCTCCGCCCCTCCTCTTCTCATGGCCTCCTTCAGAGATGAGAGCCCCTCCTTGGTTCCAAATCTCATCAATAAAATGTGTGTGTGTGTTTTTTAATCTGGATATTAATCAGTGTCTCGTTGTTCCAGCGGTCCGGTACCAGTCCTGGTGATGAGCCTCCTGTTTATTGCTTCAGTCTTCATGCTGCACATCTGGGGGAAGTACACCCGGTCTTAAACCCCACCTGATGACCTCTGACCCGGCTCTTTGACTTCTTAACTCCTGGGACCTGGACCAAACGATGAACGAACAAAGTTCCCTCTTCTTCTTTCAATACAACACATTTTTAAACTTATCATTATAATTGTAAAATCTTTATCTGTAGCAGGTTTTTATTCGATCACTGACCTGATACGAGTGAATAAGAAAACCTCGCTGAGCCTCAGTRTCTGCTCCGCTCTCACAAAAAGCAGCACCAGGTTTTCCTTATCCTGCCACATGAGGGTGGTGCATTGCCCCAGGGACTATTTTTGTTTTCAGGCCCCCCAGCAAACATTTTGTTCTTACAGCCTGAGCTGATTTTTTTTTGTTAACAGCATTTGTACAAAATGTAATTGTAAAATTGTACAATAAAATGGAAAAAAATTGAAGCCTTTGTTTTACTAAAATAAACTTGTTTTGGAGTGTCAGCAGTTCTGTTTAAACTTCTGTATCTATATTACTTGAATGCGGAAGTCTTTTATTGTAAAGAGCAGTTTGAAATATTCGTTGTAACAAAAAGCATAAAACATTTTATTTCATTCAGTGGTTTTACGTGTTGAAAGTTTATCTTGTGTTGATGTTCATGTCTTACCTGCATCAGTAGAAAAGCTCAGACTTGTTTTGACAAATAGACGCTAAATGTAACTGGAGACAATTTCCATTTTTAAGAGTTCAGAAGCAACAGAATTCAGACAGAATTTCAAGATTTGTTTTTGCTTGATAAGTTTGGAGATGAACCGATATGAAAATGTCAGCCGATGTTATGGCCAATAACTGATATTTACCAATATCACACAAATTATTTATTAATTTGGTCAAAATGATGTAATTACATTTTCAGATTCCTGCTTTAAAAGCTACATTTTGACACCTGGATCATTCTGATAAAAACTTATCCAGAGATATGACTTAATTTGTCTTGTTGGTTACAAAAATACATAAATATTTGGCCTGAATCCTAATTTTATGTCMTTTTAATGAGGAATTTTTGATGTCCTTATAAAGAGGAAATGTCAAATTACATTTGAATATTGAGATTTCCCAGCTAAAAAGAAACAAAACTTTGCTAACTCACAGGGAAAACCTCTAAATTTTAAGGTGTTTTTCCTCAAAATCAGTTTTTTTGTTGCTACTGCTCAAAAAAGTGTTTCAAAATTTTGTTTTATGATTAAATTTCAGACAGTTCATTCAAATGATACATTTATAAGGCTTTTGTTCATTATATTTTTTGACAAAATGCAATTTTTGTTAACGTTTTAGTCAAAACACTATATTTGCCTTTTTCTCCATTCACAACTTTTGGACTTAATCCTCGTTTTGATTTGATGGGTCACATATACAGGTACACACAAATACATTTTTTGATACTTTAAAAGAATGACCAGACCTCTGCCATGGCTCCACAGTTATTCCTGGCTGCGCAGCATTGCTATCATGACCAGATACCACCCGACCAACCATTCCCSTCCCAAAACAGAAACACAAAGCTAAAATGTGGGACATCAATATCAGACGGTGATATTGGCCCAGTTTTACTTATCGAACCGATATGGATATTTTTTTAAAAATGACCAATATTGGCCAATACCGATGTTAATGCAGGTATTGTGCACCTCCAAGACACGACTCGCGGTCCCCTGGGGGGTCCTGGGACCCCAGTTAAAGAACCTCTGAGTTGAAGAGTGGAAACAACATAAAAAGAAAGTTTAGTYCCAGCTTGACTAGTGCACAAAAGAAAAATGCATGAGAGGAGCTGTCCTCAATATCCGGTAAATAACTTGCATTTACACTTAGGTCTGAAAGCCGGAGTAAACTTCACACWTTCTCAGCACTTCAGAATAAAATTSCACTTTTAAGAAGCTYAATAAAGAAGAGCATCAGAAGGYAAACACCACAGTAACCATGGAGGGAGGTGGGAGTGCTACGTAACATCTTTATCCGTGTGGTGCAGTAATTTCTGTTAGTTTTTCACAGAGATGTAAAGTAACTAAGTATAAATACTTTGTTACTGTTCTTAAGTAGAATTTTTGGGTATCTGTACTTTACTTGAGTAATTATTTTTCAGCCTACTTTTTACTTCCACTTCTTACATTTTTTAAAAAGACAAGAAGTAGAAAGTTGTTACTTTTTTTCCTTTTTGCTTGTTTTCATTGCAGCTTGTTATTGTAAAAAATAAAAC